CACAGACTACTAGAAAACTTTCTACTGAGCTTGTAATTAAAATGTCAGAATTCATTCCCATCCTTGAAAACAATTTTTTTTTTTTTTTTCACTGGGTATAACAACATGAGGTAGACAAACACTTTGTCTCAATAATTCTTTACAAGATATACAAAATAGTAGTATATCGGACGATGTATCCTGGCGTAATAAATAAAAGTAAGCCTTAGGAATTAATGTATGGCTAAGCGATGCCTGTTAAAGCGTCAAAGGCTACTTAGGAGTATGGCTGATAGCTTGGAAGGTTAGATGATAGTGGGCTTGTGATACCCCAGGTGGAGGCGGCTATTCTGATGTCGGAGATCAGCAAAGGCCACTGGCACCTCCAGCCTTGACTGGACTCATTTGAAGTGATTAAAAAATATCCACGATTATTGTGGAAGGGTGTTCTCTAATTAGAAGCAATAATGTTATTTTCTTTTTTTCAAGTATTTTTTCACCAAGGAATATGGACCAGATGGACATAATTCATGGTCTAGTACTGAAACATACTGTTTCTTAAATGATTTTCGTTAATATGCAACAGCAGTTCAAGCTTTTTACATGACCTTTTTTTCCGTGTTGTAAGTTTGGATGACAGCTCTGACTCTTCTTACTTAAATGTTTTCATACTTCTGCACAGTCTAGGCTTTCCTGAGCAGAAAGACCACCTGGAAAAAACTTGGATTAAAGGGATTGATTAAAGATGGCAGACATTAACTTAAGAAGTAGACGATAATCGTTATCCTCCAAAGATTTAGAGTATTTTTTCCTCAGAGTGATTTCTTCACAATTCCAGGGTGGGAAGGACCCTGTTCGGTGGCTCTCGCGCACAGGGACTCGCTTCTAAACAGGAGAAAAAAAAAGAGATTAGATATATAAATAATTCATATTTTTTGTGATAAATTTCTACAACAGTGTTAGCAAGTGGATATGTCCCTGAGGATTATGGTCAATAGTACTGATCTCTTCTTCATTGCACTTTTTTAACTAACCAGGCCTCCCATTTGCGCGAACCCTTGATCTGTAAAATGGGGATAAAGATCACCCTTACTTTCCTGGAGACTGGAATAATGAGAGTCTCTTAGAAATCTTTCACCTTGAAAAGGGTCATTGAGCGCGCCAGAGGAGAACGGTAGTCATTTATGGCCTAAGGACTGCTTGGAGGCAAAGGTGGGTGGATCACTTGAGGTCAGAGTTAGGACCAGCACACATGCATCGGCCGACACATAGTTCGAACATCTACAGTGTCATCTACGCTACATAGATACAAGTTAATTAGTGCTGGCATTTATGTGGTAGTAGGGGCTCTGCGAATGGGTATCCATTTTAGCTTGATTACTTGGTCTCAGTAGTGGTACAACCCTACTGTCACTGATATTCATGTGGACACTTTGGTGTGCCCTCTGTTCACGATTGTCCTATGGATAAAAACGTGGAGGTATAGAACTGAGGTGCTAAGTAGGTCTGTGGGTAATAACCAGGCGAGGCCATGTTTCCGGAC